TCCCTACCCTTGCAGATCAACCTGCAAATGCACCCCGAGGCAGCTTCAACTCCAAGTGCAAGTGATAAGAACAAGGAAGGCCACCGCAGCTGCCCTCAAAGTCCATGTGCTTCTAGGAAATGTCTCTAGTAGAAATACCGTATCGGGAAATACATGGGCATTCCTAAACCAGACAATGTAATCACATTCTGGGTCAGCAGAAACAAAACCTCCCATAAACGGACGAACACATGACATGGTAGGGGGCAGGACTTCATGAAAAGATCAAAGAAAAGAAACATGGAGGGCCCAGTGGCCCAGTGGCTCATGCCTATAATCCTAGCACTTTGGGAGGCTGAGGTGGATGGATCACTTGAGGTCAGGAGTTCAAGACCAGCCTGGCCAAAACGGTGAAACCCCATCTCTGCTAAAAATACAAAAATTAGCCAGGTGTGGTGGCAGCACCTGTAGTCCCAACTACTTGGGAGGCTGAGGCAGGAAAATTGCTTGAACCCAGGAGGTGGAGGTTGGAGTGAGCAGAGATTGCACCACTGTACTCCAGCCTGGGTGACAGAGGGAGATTTCAGTTAAAAAAAAAAAAGAAAAAAGAAGAAACATGGAGGAAATCTCAGTTCAGGAAGATTCATCTGAAGAGGACAAAATGAGGAAAGAAGTAGTACAGAGAAATACATTGAAACGGCACATGTTTTGAACGTTTATATTTCCCGACTGACCACTCCAGTTTGGAGGAAGAGGAAGCAAAGGAGAGTCACTGTGTTAACATTTTACATAGGATTTCTTGTTTAATCCTATTTAATCTGGCCAAATCTATTTCCTAGATCACATCCTGGGCCCTCAGCAGACGGTTGGAAGCAATCTTATCATTCGTCATACACTCCAGCCCCAGACCAGCACCACCACAGAAGTGGTTTCTGGCAGCCTGGGAGCCTCCTCCCACCCACTCCGCTAACAACACACAGGCCACACTCCCTGCAGTCACTACTACTGGAGGAATGTTCAACACTCGCTCTAAAAGGTAAGAGTCACTAATTGGCAACCACATCGAGGCACTGGGAAAAGATGCCCTCACCCACCCCTAGTTCCCCAGGTCGTCTCCTGTGATAAGGGGGCTCCGGACCCAAAGGCAGCCCTGAAATCACTCAGCAAAAGGAGGCTACATGTTCCCACAGCTCATTGCAAACTTCAACCGCAGCTGTGTTCTCTGCTCCCAAAGGAGAATTACTCACTTCAATCTGACTCATTATAATTAGAGTAGGTTGACTTTAGGGAGCAATATTTACTTTTTAAAATAAAATGGCAATGAGGGGTGTGTTGCTTGGCATCACTTAATAGGTTAGGGCTTGCAAGGCCTGCTCTTGAGTTGTGAATTTTCTGTGCAGACGGAGCAGGTGTGGGGAGTACCTGTCATGAGGTGGTGGCTCTGGCATCAGGCTTTCCTCATGAGAACAACCAAGAGAGCACATGATCCCCTAAAACAGGGGTCAGCAAACTATAACCCATAGGCCAAATCACCTGTGTTGGGAAGTATAGCTTTATTGGAACACAGCCAAGCCCGTCTTGTCTATACTGTCTGCAGCTGCTTCCATGCTGCAGTAAGGGAGCTGAGTCATTGTGCTAGAAACCATCTGTCCGCAAAGACTGAAACATGTGCTATCTGACCTTCTGCAGAAGAAGGCGGCCCCTGCTCCAGCACATAGGGCACTCACTCAACAACGAGCTATATTGCCTCTTAAGCTCAGTACATGCATGTATCATAACGCTCTTAAAGGTCGAATGGATTTAAAAACTCAAACGTTCCACAAGCATATAGCACCTTTGGTACTAAACTCAAGTATTAACAGTTATTACTTACCTGAACATTCATTTCTTTGAAGCAGAAAGGAAGTCAAATCTCTGTCACCTCTAGTACTGTCCTATTCATAGATGCTGGCTATTTGCCACCATCCAATTCTTCATGCTGCAGTGGTTTGAAACCACAAAAATACATTAACTAATGAATTAATCGATCTGTTTGTGCTTTCATCTTTTACCTCAATAAACGTGTACTGGGCACCAGGCATTGTGCTGGGTGTGTTAGAATACGAAGATGAAACAGGCTCACTGTGTGGACTCAGGGTACCTGTATTAGTCCGTTCTCATGCTGCTATAAAGAAATATTTGAGACTGGGCAATTTATACAAGAAAGAGGTTTAATTGACTCATGGTTCTGCATTGCTGGGGAGGCCGCAGGAGACTTACAATCATGGCAGAGGCACCTCTTCACAGGGCAGCAGGAGACAGAATGAGTGTCGAGCGAAGGGGGAAACCGTCAGATCTCGTGAGAACTCACTATCACTAGAACAGCATGGGGAAACTGCCCCCATGATTCAATTATCTCCATCTGGTCCCACCCTTGACACATGGGGATTATCATAATTCAAGGTGAGATCTGGTGGGGGGACACAGAGCCAAACCATATCACCACCTAACCAAGGACAGAGATATGTTTACAAGCAACAAGAGATCGTGTGTGCTGGGAGATTGCACGGTGATACCTGAAGCCCCAGGATGGCTACCTACCACTGTGTGTGTGTGTCTGTGTGTGTGTATGTCTGGGGAGGTGTCAGGAAGCCTTCTCTGAGAAGTTGTCATTTACTTTGTTTTGTTGCTACTTATTCTGTAAGAGGTTAAACATGATAACTTCTATAATCATTTTCCCCTTCTCATCTCCAAGGGAGCAGGACATGAATGAGGGTCAGTTATTCAAGAGGACAATTATAGACTTAATTCTAAAGTGTCTGCATGCACACACACACACACACACACACACACATATGCATGCACAGCAACTCCTTTTACAGTTGAGGGTTAGATTTCCTTTATGTTACAAGCTGTTCCCAGAGGCAGGACGACAAGTACCAACTCTACTAAGGGACCCGGTTTATTTGCGTGTGCAAAGAGGCAGGAGTCCACACACTGAGTTACAGCCACTGGGTGATAAGGAGCGAGGCCGCAGGTATGGTGGAAAGAGACCTTGACATGTGGTCACGTTATGATGGTCTTCTCCTGACTACTATAAAAAGGCTGGACAATGATCACTCAGTAACGTTACACATTCCTATCCTTCTCCCTACAGTGGTGTGATGAGGCCAGGTGCAGAGCTGTGGGTACTGGCTTGTAAGGGACCCACAGCAGGCAGGGAGAGCTCTCTACGGAGGTGTAATGGCCACTTTGACAGATGATTTGAGGGATACTGGAAATCTCTTCAATCACAGACTTTCAGAGGGTTTTAAGGTCAACTATTAGAGATTCAGTTGCACATCAGTCCTGAAAACTTAAGTCTTCTACAATCTCCTATCAAATTACAATTTTTCCCTTTTTAAGAGTTAATGCCTTTGAGAAAAGACAAATTTTATCTCTTTGTTGTGATTGAACTGATGGGTTGGTGTTCCTTGGTCAAGGGCAGCTCTCAACTTCCTCACTTCCTCCTGTCACCCTGTGATTTTGATCAGTTACATATGCTTTTCAAAACCTCTGTAATCAGTTTTAGCATTAGAGACATGATCATAATAGCTAAAATATTAATAGTTTCACGGCCTCTATGCTCTTGTTTTTTTTCAAACCAATTCAAGGCAGTGGAATTAGTACATAACCAAGAAAATGCGATTGTACTATGGGGAGAAATAAGACTATTTTCATTTGTAAGATAGATGACAGCCTATCCAATACAATTCTATGTGAGCTCTTAGATACGATCATTTTTTGTGCTATTTTAGGAAAAAGGAGCTTTACAAATGCAGGCTTAGGTAATCAGCTTAAAGAGGCAGAAGAAAATGGTGACTTGAAAACGGCAACCATGTCATCTGACCTTCAAACCCGAGGGACTTTCTGCACGTGGCAATACGGTCTCTTAAAAAATGCTGCACAGAACGGACAAATATAATCCAGTTTTAGTCAAACGCAAGGCTAGAGGTGGAAAACCTGAGGGATCATATTATCCACATCCTTTACTACATGGCTGGGCTGCTGCCTGCAGCCTGACAGCTGGAGGTGCCGTGCAAGGCCAGCTCGACAGTGAGAACCAGGGTGGGAGCCCTCATCTTAGAAATAGTGTTCAGGGCCGTTTTCTCTGCACTGTCCTTCCCGTTCACAGAAACCCGGCAGTTTTGCCAATTTGAGAAGGAATCCATGAAGACAGCTGATAGAAACCGAGAGGGCTGCAATGGCCATGGGGGATTTTGCATGTTGATGGGATTGGCCTGGCTCCATCAGGGCCAGCAAACCTACAGCTTAAAAACCCTTCCACAGAGGCCAGGTGCGGTAGCTCATGCCTGTAATGCCAGCACTTTGGGAGGCCGAGGTGAGTGGATCGCCTGAGGTTAGGAGTTCGAGACCAGCCTGGCCAACATAGTGAAACCCTGTCTCTACTAAAAATACAAAAATTAGTCGGGTGTGGTGGCGCACGCCTGTAATCCCAGCTACCGGGGAGGCTGAGGCAGGAGAATCGCTTGAACACAGGATGTGGAGGTTGCAGTGAGATGAGATCGCACCATTGCACCCTGGCCTGGGCAATAAGAGCGAAACTCTGTCTCAAAAAAACAAACAACAACAACAAAAAACCCTCCACAGAAAGAAGTCTGAGTTCCCAGAGCATCTTTTGATGACAAAACCATTTGGATCATTCTCATTTGCAGTCCTTTTAATGAAGTTGATCTCTTTGAGCTCACGATTCATCTGGAGTCCACAGACACAGCTACAGTTAGGCACCACTTCAACCATGTCAGATGTAGGAACCAAGCACACGCTGTTCCAATTTTAGGAGAATTTGCTATCTAAAATGAAATGACCCTTTTACATATCCAGACACCCTGGTGTATTTGTCCAGATTTTAATTTACACACGCACACACACATACACACACACAACACCATATACAGGCTGAGTACAGTGAGACCCATTCAGCTTAGAAAATGGAAACTTCCTCAAAACCCAAATACAGTTACCGAACTTGATTGGCTTACCAGCTGTTGGCCTTTAGGGCCCCATCCTGCATACTGAAGTTTTGCATTGCTGACTTCTGGTGGGTCCAGACTTTGAGGATCCCTGAAAATGGAACAAACAAACAAAAACAAAGCAAAATGTTGGGAACCAAGAATTTAAGCTGCTGCAATTTTATCCCCTACCTATAACTTAACTCCTTTCTCCTTCCATGCTATCCATTTCAAGAGCTTGTCTCTTGTGTTACTAAGTAATATGTCTCATTTAGTCTCTATTAGGTTTCTTCAGATGTATATAATTTATATGAAGCTCAAATAGGTCTATCATTGCTTAACCCAAATAGTAAATACTCATTAAGAGAGAACATGCAGTGAGGTCTCTGGATCAACTTCTTAACTCTCCAGAACAGTCAGAGTTAAAAATTAAAATGCAGAGCCATGCAGTGATCTGTCTCCACAATTTGTGTCTCCATCTTTGGTTCTCCTAGAAGGTAATTTTTTCTAGGTATCACGCAGGTCGTTATGACCTTACAAACCTGGTGGCATCAGGTTTTGTGTTGGTTTGTGTTGACAGATACAAGCCGAGAGAGAGAGGGAGGAAGGGGATAAATTGAAAGATGTATTTCCTTTCAAACCTCACTTACATTTTTTATCCTTAATGTACTGATTAAATACCAATACCACCACAACAAAAACCTGCCTAAGTACTTAAAGGTTATAGTGAATAAAGGTCATGGTGGCAAAAATGAAAAGAGCTAACACTTTTATAAGTATTAAATATTTCAGTATATTTTGTAGCTACTGTTGTCTCCAACATGCAGAAAAGATTCATTTTTGTGTTTCTTTTGGATGACACCCCTTCACGTGAAGAATGGTATCTGTGTTCTGCTGAGTCTGCTGGGCTCTGTCAGGTAAGCACCCCATCACTTAGCTATAATATTTCTTATGTGGGGCCGGGCACAGTGGCTCATGCCTGTAATCCCAGCACTTTGGGAGACCAAGGCAGGTGGATCACAAGGTCAGGAGATCGAGACCATCCTGGCTAACATGGTGAAACCCAGTCTCTACTACAAATACAAAAAATTAGCCAGGCATGGTGGTGGGTGCCTGTAGTCCCAGTTACTCGGGAGGCTGAGGCAGAAGAATGGCGTGAACCCGGGAGGCAGAGCTTGCAGTGAGCAGAGACTGTGCCACTGCACTGTAGCCTGGGCAACAGAGCAAAACTCTGTCTCAAAAAAAAATTATATATATATATATATATATATATTTCTTATGCGGAAGACATAGCTGGGAATACACCCACTCATCTGTAGAGGGAAATGGTTGAATGGCCTTTGGAAAGGGAGGATGCTGCATTTTAGGGGTTGCATGAACAAAGGAGATGAGGCAGGAAGGGAAGGAAGGTGAAGAGCTAAGGACATGGTGGACTGGAATCAATAGAAAATACAAAAAGCAACGGCTGAATAAAACTACCAGGAAAAACAAGGAATACATTTAGATTAAAGAGAGATGGGGGAGGCTAGAGAGTCCAGAATGCCCCAGGTAGTTTTAAATGAAGTGTCTGGGTTTGGAGAAGCCAGGAAGCCTGAGGGTAGAGCGGCGATGCCAATTCAGAGAAGACATTGCTGCTTAGAAACCAGCTAGGAAGGCAGCTACCCAGCGATCAGAAGATGCAAGCAAGTCCTAATATTGCAGGTTCTGTTAATAGATGAGTTTCTAACATTTGCATGGTTTTGTTTTGCTTTATTTTGTTTTGAGAAGGAGTCTTGCTCTAACGCTCAATCTGGAGTGCAGTGGCAGGACCTTGGCTCACTGCAACTTCTGCCTCCCAGGTTCAAGTGATTCTCCTGCCTCAGCCTCCCGAGTAGCTGGGATTACAGGCACCTGCCACAACGCCTGGCTAATTTTTGTATTTTCAGTAGAAACAGGGTTTCACCATGTTGGCCAGGCTGGAAACTCCTGACCTCAGGCAATCCGTCCTCGTTGGCCTCCCAAAGTGCTAGAATTACAGGCATGAGCCACTGCGCCCCACCAACATTTGTATGTTTTGATGTTTCAAAGTATTCTCATAAGCATAGGTTAGTTCCTCTTGAACCCTGGTGAACAGTTGGATCAACATAAAAAAATGAATGATAGTACTGGATTAACCCATAGAATAAAATAAATACCCATGAGTCTTTACTGATATAAATAAATAAATCAAATCATCAAATTTACAGTGGAAACCTGGCAGACAGCCACTTAAGCAAGTGACCAAGGCCAACATCATCGAAGCCCCCTTGGATACAATGCACTGGGACGGACAAATAATCATTTATGTGATTTTTTTTTTTCACCCAAAATGCAGAACCTTACTCCAATCATGAGAAAACACTGGGAAAAACCCAAACTGAGGGACACTCCAACATAACTGACCAGACCTCCTCAAAAGTGCAAGGTCGTGAAAGACAAGAAGAAACTGAGGAAATGTTACAGACTGGAGGGTGCTAAGAAGAAAGAACATCTCAAGGCAGCGTGGGGTCCTGGGACAGAGAAAAGACACTGGTAGAAAAATTGGTAGAATTCAAATAAGGCCTGTCGAGTTAACAATATGGCACCCATGTTGATTTCCTATTCTTGATCATTATACTAAAGTTATAAAATATGCTATCGCTAGGAGGGGTGACATGAGAAATACAGGATTGTTTTTGCACTATTTTTGCAACCTTTCTATGTCTACAATTATTCAAAATAAAAAGCTTTAAAAAAAGAATTTCATAGCTTATATCTCATTGGCTATAAAAATTGTCCTAAATAGAAATGAAAAGTCAGATAATTTCCCTTCCAACATACTGTGATCTTGATTTTAATAACTGAAAAAAAAAATTCCATACGTAGCATAGCACAGGCCCTCAATATGTGCCTATGAACAAACAAATAAATTAGTAAATAAAGGTAGGTTCTAGAGGTGGCTCTCAGCAAAGATCCTTTTGCAAGTTTAGAGACAAGCCTAACAAATTCACTTTACCTGTGTTTATTTGGAATTTTCTAAGCACAGAGGACAGAGTGGGGGATCAGAAAGACTTAAACTCCATTGCCTTACTTAATATTGAAATTCAGTTTGTTAGATTGTTATTTCCAGTAGGTGTCTAAGATATTCAGAAACAGCAGGGGATTAACTTTTCTTTGATATGACAGATGTAAATTCCCTTAAATGCTAACTGGAAATAATATGGAGTGCCTTGCAAGACTGCATGAACACTAGGGCCAATACGCCATGTGATTCACTAATTCCGATTTTATTACCTGTGCTCACCTGTGCTCAAGGAGTCCTTTACTTCTTCCATAAGCTAAGATGCATTTCCCTTCCCTCACCACCAACACTTTACAGGAGTTTCCACAGAACCACCCTAGGAATCAAAAGGTTTGCACCCTAGTCCCAACCTTACGATGTATGGATCCCACGGCCTTCAGCAACTCTCTGTGTCTTATTTTCTCCTATGGGGACAATAGCTACCCTCCTCCTACAGAATGGTCGTGAAATTCAAGAGAAACAATGGCTATTAATTTATAAACTCTAGCATAGTCCAAAGAGGTAATTATTTTCTTTTTGCTAGCTAGTGACTCTCTCAACCTCTCCATCTTTCTCAGTCTCTATAAGTTAAACAAACGACTCCAAGATACCAGAAGTGAGTTGCGGCAATCTGTCTTCAAAAACACCAGGATGCCCCTCATGGGCAGGAAGCTGTGAAGTCATGGAAAGAATTCCAAGAAGCTCTAAATTTAATTCTGAATCCTGCCACTAGGAGCAAAGGGCTTGGGGCAAGAGAGTAACTGGATCCAAGTTTGTTTCCCTGTATAAAATGAGAATAATCATGTTTGCCTCATAGGGTTGGAATCAATAATCTGTTGTATGTGAAAATAGGTAGCACAGAACTTCCTAGCAGATATTCCATAAATGCTGGTTTATTCATTGATAAACTGGTAAATAATTTGACCATGCAATATAATACACACAACACATATATGTGAATGTGTAGATGTATATGTGTGTTCCCTTAACCCTTCACTTAATTAGAAAGGATCGATGGTTGATTATTGATAAAATGTTATTACAACAACTATGTGTAATTTCTTTTAAAGGCCCAGTAATATGTCAGATATTGGGACAAATTTACTCCATGGAACTCTGTAGCAAAAAACAAATGGGCTCAATCCCTGTGTCAGGTGGGAGACCGGGTTTAGGGTCTCAATCCTCAATCATATTCTCCACATCTGTTCCTACGAAAGGAACTTACATTTTTGCATTGAAATTCGATTTCCTGCAGGGTATCAGATACTTTTCCTTTCAAGTTAAAAGAGGATTTGAGAGTGATTTTTCCAACTTCTTCTCCACTGTGGGAATTCCCTTTTTGATGAGCCACTTGGTGGTGGTTCATCCTCTGCTCCGATCCCCTACTGAATCGCTTTCCTCACACAACTCCTTCTCTGCCCAGACTAGCAAATGCCCAACTTGGGTTTTATGCTGAATCTACCTCCTCCACATCAACACCTCGACCTTTGAGAATGACAAATGCAATGTCTCCAACCTCAGCTGGCCACTAACCATTCCCATCATTACAACCACCCAGAGGTGTGAGACACGTCTGTCCTCAATGCCAATTCCAATCTTTCCTGCTCTCCTCACATCCCTCTTGTACCTACTGCCTCCTTACTCTAAAGGGACAAGGAGGTGTGGGGCACACAGAGGGGCACTGAAGGCTCTCCCTCCCACACCCACTCCCACTCCCTCTCCCTTTTGCCTACAGGGCTTCCCTCTCCATCAGCCTCACTCTCAGCCTTTGCGTCTGGGAGGCTCCAGCTTGGCCCAGATTCCCTGTTTCCCTGCAGAAAGACGTGCTTCCTCCTGAACACACTGAAGTACCTGTTGCTCCTCCCTCCTCTCAGTCTCCAGTGACCAGGCATCCCCTTCCCGTCTCGGCCAGCACTTCCTCCTGTACCTCCTTTTTTGTTCCAGCCTAGAACTATCAAATACTTTCCTTTCCATTTACCTTCCTGGTAAACTTTTATTATTTATTACTATTTTCTAATTAATAAGCTTAATTTTTTTAAGAGCAGTTTCACGTT